GAACCAATGTAAAAGAGAAAACCGAGAGGTCAGAGCTCAGAGCTAAAATCTTACCCTTCCTCCTGCGTGCTCCTAGCTTCCCGAAAGAGAGCTACTTCCTGTGTGTATGTCTTTTCATAGTCTTTTTGTTCTGCCTTCTCATTGGTTGTAAACCCAAACATGTGACTGCCTCATCACTGCCTGTATGTACAGCGACCCGGGTTTAAAGGCATATGTCTCCAATGCTGGCTGTATCCCTGAACACAGAGATCTACCTAGCTCTTCTACCAAGTGCTGGGATTAAAGGCGTGTGCCACCACCGTCACACTCTTGCTATGGCTCTAATAGCTCTGACCCCCGGGCAACTTTATTTATTAACATACAATCAAAATCACATTTCAGTACAATTAGAATACCACCACAGACTTTATCAAGATAATGAGGGCAAATCAACCAAAATTTCTGGGTTATTTGTGGTCTAAATTTTCTGGGGAAGGAGTATATAACCCAATATTAACCCAATTCACTGATGCTGATAAAAACACATCTGGTTGGATGTCAGGAAAAACTTGGAGTTTAAGGCCATATGGCCAGATCAGAGGACCAATAGGAAAAGCCCTAGGGGCATTATTCACCCTCCCGTTAGACATCCAGCCCCTACAGCCACAAAAGCCCCTGGGTCACAATAAGATAATGGGCACACCAAAGCCTAAGAAAATTAAAACATTTTCTTTCACATCTGAGGCTGACTCCATATACCTACCCTCCAATCCAGGCCTCTTTAACCTACTGAGAGCCACTTATTTGATTTCAAATGTCTCAAAGCCAAGCCTCACCAAGATTCATTGGCTCTATCTGGACACAAAACCCTCCTATTACCAGGGGTTTGCAATAATGGGAAGTTATACCACTTTCTATGACATGCAGTCATGCAGATGGCAACACTCAGGCAGACGAAATCTTATCTTACAATCTATGATGGGAAATAGCCTCTGCAGGGGCCAACCCCCCACCTATTTATGTCAACCTCTGCAATAAAACTCAGAGTCCAATGGGGATGAGATATTTAATTTCCCATGATGATGTCTGGTGGACTTGTATCACAGGCTTAACCCCCTGTGTACATGCCCAAATTTTAAGTGACACTCAGGGCTTCTGTGCCTGAGTACAGCTGGTCCCTTGGGTAGTCTATTTCCCTGAGGAAGATATTCTCCAATGGTTACAACCACAAGGATGGGCCAAACAGAAGGTTTTCCAAGCAATCTTAATATCCTCCCTCAAAGGCTTAGGCGTAGCCAGAACATAGGCATTGTAACCTCAGCCCTCATCCTCCAAGACCAACATTGCAGGATTCTGAGCATAGCCATAGATGAACACATAGCCACCCTAGAAAATCCATCACCTATCTAGAAGAATCAATCTCCTCTTTAACTGAGGTAGTCCTCCATAATAGAAGAGGATTAGACTTACTATTCCTTTAATAGGGGGTCTTATGTTTGGCTCTGGGAGATCAATGCTGTTTTATGCTAACCATTCAAGGAACCTAAACGTAAAAAAGCTACATGGTAGAAAACTTGAAAAACAATAGAATGAAGGATGGTATGAATTTCTATTCAACTGCTCACCCTAGTTAAATACTCTCCTATCAGCCTTGGCTGGGCTCTTGGTCCTCTTACTATTGGACTTAACTTGTGGACATTGCATCATTAATGTCATTGTCAGGTTTGTAAAGGGGCAGAGCTCCATGGCCCATCTGATGGTTCTAAAGCAACAATAGAAGCCTATACTTCTGGAGGATACATCTTCAGGATTTGAGATGGCACACTACTCAAGGGGAATGAGAGGGTCAGGGATACAGACAAGAACCATGACAGACTCCTAGTAGTCCTGCCAGAGACCTGGCTTCAGTTTTCTGTTTACTGGAACTGAGCAAGTAGTTCTCAGGAAAACAACAACTCAGTGGCAACCAAGCAGCAGGCACCCCACAGCCTTCTGCTAGCTAAAGAGCTCTCCTACACCCAGACACTGGAAAGTCGCTACCCACTAGGGCCACCTACCAATCCTCTAACAACCTATAAACATTTTTATTTAAACCCCCCACTCAGTCCCAGACTAACCTGCTCTCCCTGAAATTCCCCTAATCTTGCTTAAAACAAGCCTGTAAACTTCTCTCAGGTTCACAATTTAGCCACATTGTCAGATAGTTTGACCCCAGGGTGATGAAATTTCTATTCTTGAGAAATCAAATGATCTTGTTGATTAAATATGCATCTAGTGGTCTTTTATATGACTTCTTGTGGACCCTAACACTAATAAGTCTACTCTATAAGGTTAACTCCATAAGGTTAGTTTCTTATAGATTTATAAGTTTGTCTGGAAAAAAGTGAAGACATGACTTAAGGGGTTTTTACAAAGACACTATGCATGAGTGCAACAGGGCACTCCCAGAAGCCAAAAGGTTATTTGGTGAAAATATCAGTAAAGGACTGGACTACCTCTTTAAAACTCATGGCCCGTGAAGATTCCCCCAAGGCACTACAAACTAGAAAAGCTATGGCTACTGCATTGAGTTGCCTATGAGAGCTAGATGGTAAGTCTCTATCACTGAGGATACCACTTACTTAGCAGCATGACATAGAGAAATTTAGGCTGGTAGTGAACTGGGTGATTTCTCCTTTCTGATTGGATTTCATGCTGCTGGAAGATGCCATAAAGGGAACTGGGAGAAAGTGTCGCTAATTGTCCTGGTTGGGTGTGGTCTTTGCATGCTACTCTAGTAACACTATGCTAGGCAATATGTGCACACTGGTTCAATAAAGCATGAAAGCCATGTATGAAAACAACTGCTTTCTGACATCTGATATTTACTGTAAGCCAAGTCAAAAGATCACAGCAGTGTGTCCATAGACTCCAGTGGAAAGGCAACTGCTATTGTTCTGTTAAGCACATATGTTATGACTGTCAAATTGCCTTCTAAACATATGTTATCATGTCCATGATTATAAATGCTCTCACTCACAGTTGAGCATAAAAAGAAAATTCTCCTTTCAAATGGGAAGTGTACTACAGATGTTGACAACCAGACAGATCATGAGAATAGGTGACTGTTTCTATAGCATAATAGAATAATACTTAGATACACATGAAAATAAAACCAAACATCTATTTTATATCCCAGAAGGTTCAAAAAAATTGCAGAAGACTGTGTTATTTCATCCATAACAAAGTAGTTATAAAAATTGAACAAAAATTGAATGAAAGAAGCAAAAGTAATACATTTGTATTTTTGGTTTAGCCTACTATAACTTGAACTATAAAATAAACTTAAAACCAATATTCACTTGAGATAAATTTACCATATTCTTTGAATAACTATCAAATGGAAGCAGTTTAATTCTTACAAAAGAAGAAAATACCACTTGAGATTGACGAACTCCTTGAAGAGTATTTTGTGTGTGTGTGTGTGTGTGTGTGTGTGTGTGTGTGTGTGTGTGTGTGTGTGTGTGAAATGAGATAATAATCCCCAGTGATTTGAATTCACATTTGAATCCAGAGCTCAGCAGGGACACATCCTTGATGACAAACAATGGCAGTAAGAGACAGCTGGGCAGCAATAAATGCAAAGTGACCTTTACCTTGTTACTTTGCAATGAATTCTTGTTGGAAGAGGTAAGTTTGGAGATTTTGGGGCAAATTTGGTTTACTGGTTTGAAATTTATCTTTGGAAAATACTTTATTCTTTAGAAATACATGATTTAGTGGATATACAAATCAGGTGAAATAAGGCAAGAAACTAGAACAAAAAAATAGCTGAATCAATTTCTATTTCCATATGCAAACTCCTTTGAAAATTCAGGTAACCTTCATTGTTAAAGATTTCTTATTTATCTGACCACTGAGAAAAGCAGAAGCTAGCATGATCTATAAGCATACAGGAAGTTACTACTCAGGCAAATGAAGTCATTATCTTTAAATACTTTGATGGCAAACTGTTGGTAACCTCTTGTAGAAATGCTTGCTTTCCTTGACAGAATATTCCAGTATCATAAGCACTCAATATGTTAGCTCAACAGAAGATATAATGTCAAAAATCATGAGATAAGAGTGCATGTAGCCTTTTGCTGGATATACCTGAGTAAAATTCTTAATTTCTTAGGTGGAATATTTACTTGCCATTGTACTGTGTAGAAAACCATGTGATTTCATTCCATCACACTCCAATTAGAAAATACTGATTACTTTCTAGTTTTCCAAGTTCAAGTAAGAAAATTTAACTTGATGTAGTCTTGCTTCACTAATAGACTATATAAACATTGTACTAAGAAAGCTCACCTTTCTCGTAATAAGCACATAGCTGCAAAACTACTCTGTTGTACATCCAAAATGTGTATGTGCTCTAAACTTCATTGTGACTCTTTCATAAATAATAATTCTTAAAGGTTTAAATGAAGTTCAGCCTGCTGGTGGTTCATATGCTGATTCTAGACTTCGTGTAGTCATAAACTACTTTCCATTTTCAAATTAAATAGTCTTGATAAGATAGAAATAATAATATTTCTTAATACTAACTGTTGGAAACTAAAGAACCATATATAAAATTCTATGTCATGTTGTGGTACTTAGTAAGCTTGCATTAAGATTAGACATTATTTAAGGCTTCATCACACAATTCCGTGCTTGCACATTTTCTGTCTTGTGGTATTTATAATTTTTGTCTTTTTATACAAGTCTCACATTTTAAAACTTTAGTTATAAAACCACATAGGTATATTTTACTATATATAACTAAAAAGACAAGATACATTATTTGAAGGAAGGTTGCTAACATTTGTTTTAAAATTTTAAGCCACATTAAATGAACAAAAATATACGTATACCCCGAGTCCTGACTAAAATTTTGTCAGATAAAACTGCCATTTATTTTGAATGATATATTTATTTGTGATACCCCAAGACTGAGTTGCTGAAAATAAAGTCATTTTTAAAAATCCCTTCCTGTAATATCTCCATCACAGCCTTGCTCTGGCAGCAGCTACACTGTCCCATGGCTTTCTTGGAGGATGGGAACCACACTGCAGTGACAGAGTTCATTTTATTGGGCTTAACAGATGACCCAGTCCTTAGAGTCGTCCTATTCATCATCATCCTGTGCATCTACCTGGTGACTGTGTGTGGGAACCTCAGCACCATTCTTCTCATCAGAGTCTCTTCCCAGCTCCATCATCCCATGTACTTTTTTCTCAGCCACTTGGCTTCTGCTGACATAGGGTACTCATCTTCTGTCACACCCAATATGCTTGCCAACTTCCTGGTGAAGAGAAGTACCATTACCTACCTTGGATGTGCCATTCAGCTTGGATCAGGTGCTTTCTTTGGAACAGTTGAGTGCTTTGTTCTGGCTGCTATGGCTTATGATCGCTTCATGGCAATCTGTAGCCCATTGCTTTATTCCATGAAGATGTCCACACAAGTCTGTGTCCAGTTGCTTATAGTAGCATACATAAGTGGTTTCCTTAATGCCTCCTCCTTCACCCTTTCCTTCTTTTCTTTTCTCTTCTGTGGACCAAATAGAATCAATCACTTTTTCTGTGATTTTACTCCTTTAGTTGAACTCTCCTGTTCTGATGACAGTGTCTCTATTGTTCTTGCAACTATTTCTGTTGGCACTGTCATTGTGTTCACAGTGCTTGTCATAGCTGTCTCCTATACCTACATCCTCATCACCATCCTGAAGATGCGCTCCACTGAGGGTCGCCAGAAAGCCTTCTCCACCTGCACCTCCCACCTCACTGCAGTCACTCTCTTCTATGGGACTGTCACATTCATTTATGTGATGCCCAAGTCCAGCTACTCCACTGACCAGAACAAGGTGTTGTCTGTGTTCTACATGGTGGTGATCCCCATGTTGAACCCCCTTATCTACAGCCTCAGGAATAACGAGATTAAGGGTGCTCTGAAGAGACAATTTGGCAGGAAAATATTGTCTTAGAAACATTTGTTACATTGTAGGACTTGATATTGCAATGATGCCTTATGGATATAGCAATAAAAGTTGAGTGTCTGTGGTTGAAAAATGTGTGTTGGTATACTATTAGTAAATAAGGGACATTGCAATAAATATCATAATTCAATTTTCAGATTACAGAAGAAATAAAAGGGTCATAGTAAATTACTTTTAATAACTTTTAAAAAATCAAATAAAGTTTTTATTTAACAGAAAAAGTGATTCATATAAAACATAAAATTCTGCAATATTTTGAAGTTAATTTGGTGGTATTGTGTTCTCCAAAATATTGTGCATCCTATAAACTTATCTGGGGTCAGAGACAGAACAGTCACTTGATACAAAGGCTAGAAAATGGTGGCACTCATACCTTTAATCCTAACATTCCAGAGACAGAAATCCCTCTGGATCTCTGTGAGTTCAAGGCCACATTGGAAACAGCCAGGCATGGTGACTCACTCCTTTAATCCCAGAAAGCAAGCCTTTAATCCCAGGGAGTGATGGTAGAAAGCAGAAAGGTATGTAAGGCATGAGGACCAGAAACTAGAAGCATTTGGCTGGTTAAGCACTTGGCTGGTTAAGCATTCAGGCTTTTGAGCAGCAATTCAGCTGAGACCCATTCTGGATGAGGACTCAGAGGCCTCCAGTCTGAGGAAGCAAGACCAGCTGAGGATCCGGCGAGGTAAGGTAGCTGTGGCTTGTTGTCTCTCTGATCTACCAGCATTGACCTCAATAATGGGTTTGATTTTATTAATAAGAACTTTTAAGATTCATGCTACAGTTACTATCATATTTTTAAGTATTTGATAGTCAACTTTGTTACAGACTACATCTTACCTGTCCCCAAGGTCTTATGTGTTGATGAAATATATCTTCTCTGGTGCTGTTGAGAAGGGCTAGAATCAAAGAGGTTGAGCTTTGTGGGCAATCCTTAGGTTACTAGAGGCATGACATAAAGGAGATTTGACACTCACAATTTTTTTTTGTCTGCTATTGACTATAAAATGGAAAGTTTTGTTCTACTATGTGTTCCTTTGGTGATGTATATCTACAGATACATGTCAATGGAGTCAATTCATAAGGGACCAAGAACTCAAAAACTTCATGTTAACAATAAGCCTTTCTCTTCAATGCCAATTGATTAGCTCCACTACTTGTTATGACAATAGAAAGCTTACTAATGCCTATCACAAGACTTCATAATGTGGCTGGTTCAACACCAGATTATCATGAGATAAACCTAATAACTATGGTTATCTCTGCACCTTTCAAAAGAAACGATAGGGGGCAACTAAATTGGTGGAAATGTTTTCATAAAAATGTTGCCCCTGAGATATATCCATATATATATATCCATAAAATTCTGATGTGTGGTTTCTGCCTGTGGTACTGTGAGGTCCACAGAAAAGAACAGGAAATCCTTCTCTGGTTAACCTGAATAACTGTCAATTTCAAATGTTAAATTCCTACTTCGGGTTGACTCATATTCTTAAGCTTGCAAGGAATAAGGAAATCAAAAAGAGAAAAACAAAACAGGAACAACAACAGAAATAGTTTCCTACAAAAGAACTGAGTTTACAAGTCCAACAGTGAGACAAAAGACATCATGGTCAAGACCCTCATCCTCATGTTCAAATGGGAGCAGATATGGCCACATCTTCTTTGAAACACTTTGACTACCTTTAGGAGAAATGCAATCAATTTTCTCATATGGTCCACATTTACTCTTCTTTCCCCCTCCACTTTAGTGTTTCAGAAACAGATTTAATTTTCTTGCTTATAAAACAAAAGGCATTGATGTTTTTGTTCATTCATTTGCATTTTCAAACAATCTAGAAGGGTGTCTAGTGATACATTTCCAATGTTAGTCTAGCCCATTGCATGGGGTTACAAATGAATACTGGCAAGGGTGAAGTATATCCTCTAATATAGGACCTTGACAATAAAACTAAAAGGTAAGTGATTTGGACTATTAGAATATGTTGAGAACTGTTGATAAATCAAAATTCAACAATAAAGCCAAAGTCATGTGTGAGGGGTTGATGTGGCACAGGCAAGGGTTTGATGGTGCAGGTGTCACTGAGAACCTAAAAGCTGAGAAAGGACTGCAGAATGTGAGGAATGAGTCAAATACTGTAGTACCTATGTAAGCAAGTTGTGTGAATGCAATATTGCATTCATGTACATAGAGGCTTCTGTTCAAATAATGGCAGAGCTGTTTGTCTACTTTAATTAGTCCTGTGGTACATACAAGAGGAACAAATGACAAAATGTTAAGTATGTTAAGTATATCTTCACCATTAAATTATAGCTTACAAACTAAGTATTCTGTTATCATCCCCAGAAAGTGACAAATCAGGGAAATAGACCTAAAATTACATATGTGTGTGTGTGTGTGTGTGTGTGTGTGTGTGTGTGTGTGTGTGTGATGGGTTTGCAGGTTAAAGCCCCACCACCAAACCCTGATGACTTGAATTCATTTCCTGGAACCCACATAAGAGTATAAGGAGAGAGAAAATTCCCTGAGTCGATTTCCCTACAGTAAGTAATACACTTTTGTTTTCAATGAGAGAATTAGACATTCAGAAGAAAATGTTATAAACTTAAATTAAATTTAACATGAGATGGGTGTGAGAGCGGCAAGAATCATAAACTTAGGCATGTCCTTGGGAGAGATATAATCAATAGACATCACATATATCCTCAAAAGTAGATAAACCACAGGCAAACAACCGTTGCTCAGATTGCAGCCACAGTGGTATAGGGAACTCAGTCTTTGAACTTGGATCTAATATAGTCAAGAAAAAGTAGTATATCAGGACTAATTGAGTAAATGACTAGTCAAGCCTCAATTATCCCTGTCAAACACAAAGAAAAATATTTATCCACTGAATGGAAACACAGGATAGTAAACAGGGAATCAAATGGCAGTGTATAAGAGAAACAAAACTCTAGGATTTAAGATATAAAACTTAACATACACAACATTCACTTAGCAGGTAATGGTCAGCTGAAATGTATGCAATAACAGAAAATGAAAGATGAATTAATATAGAGTTTCATAACTGGAATGTTCACCATGCCAACACTTACAGTAGACATTTTTCTTTCAATAGCAATTTCCCCTTTGGTTTTCAGACTGTATTTCCATGGCCATAAAACAGAGGAGCAGTCTGGCTAATAGCCCCCATGGCTCTCTGGAAGAAGAATATGTTAACAGTGTCAGATATTTTTTTCATGGTCCTTGCAAGGATGTTCAGAGTTTGAAGAATCACTGTACTCAGGAGATTGGACAGTGAAAAAGAGAGCTTGGGTGGTGTAGTTTTGAAAGTTGATTAGTGCTCAGTGGTCAGCCACTTCAGGAAGGGGGAATAAAAGATATAGTGTAAGACTCCATAAAATTAAGATTAGCAGGAGTTCTAATGGGTCTTCAAATTGAAGAACACTGTTTCTAACATCTTCCATTACAAAATAAAAGATAAAATTCCTGTTTGACGTGTGAATTATGAGATACCAATTCTTATTTGAGGATGGGCCATGTGTTTTCATTCTTCAGTTTTCTATATAATAATAATTTGTATCTTTGGCTATGAAAATTATGTCTTTCTTAAATAATTGATTTTTTTAAAAAATTACATCTCTGCCCTTCACATATTCCTCAAGCTACTTTATGAAGTGTATTACATAACTCAGTACAAAACACTTACAGATATGAAAAAGTATTAAATGAAAGAAGACAATGTTGCCTATTTTTAATCTCAGAATCCACTAACATGAAGTGTAAAATGAACCTAGAACCAGCATTTATTTGAGGTAATTTGGTATCATATACTTCAGATAATTATCAAATGAAGGTGCATTAATTTTCACACACACACAAAGAAAAATCAGATTGACACTTTGAAAATCGTGTTCATGTTGAACGAACTATTTTCACCTGAGAAAACGGTCCGTGGGGATTTGGATTCATGGTTGAATCCCCAGACTCTTCAGAAACTTACTCTCAATGGTAAATAATGATTGTGGGAGACAGCTAGAACACTATAAAATCACGGTATAATTATCTTGACTTTCTACTTTAGAATGAATCCTTATTTCAAAAGCTAAGAATACTTTGTTCTTTGAAAATATGTACATTTTGATAAGATGTAGTCAAGAAACAAGTTTAGATATAATCAAGAAAAAAATCAACTAAATCAACTTATATTTTCAGTCAAATTCCTGTGAATAATTAGGCATAGAATTTAGTTTTCATAGCTTTCTTATTTATCTATACACTTAGAAGACTGGAAACAGACATGGTCTCTAATAGCATGTAAGCTTAAAACTCAAGAAAAAACGCTAATAAATTCACTAGCTTTAACATAGGTTTGTGATTTCCTGACCAATACTTCATGGAAAGACAGACTTTGTTTACCAACTGACTGCTCTAGGGTCACAGGCTCCAGGCATTGAGGACAAACACAAGAATATAAGGCTGAAAAAAATCTCAAAACAAGAGAGTCAGCCTACTCCTAGCTAGGAAACCTGGGTAAACTGAATATTCCAGGTTTAATATTTACCTGTGTACTTTGTAAGCAACCTCATTATTTCATTCCATTGTTGTCCAGTTAGAAAACATCATTATGTTAGGAGAGAATTTTGTGCGTGTGTGAATAAGACTTGCTAATATTATTAGAAAGGGTATTCACATAAAACTGAATGATTAGACTGATAGTGAAAATGACAATAATGCAGTGGTTTCATTGGAAAGTAATTGAAGACTATAGTAAATTTACAGTAGGTCCTCCTATTATAATTTTAGTTCTTCCCAGTTCTTGTAAAAAATTTTATCTCTCTCTATAAAAACTGTCCTTAAGGTAATTATGTAGCTGATAGACTTGACAACCCACGTCCCAAACCATGGACCTTCTGTTTGAAAAACTGACTTGCTGTCTGTTTCCAAATTATCACGTGCTCCTCACTTTATTGTCACTCTTCACACATAGTATAATGAGAGCAGACAGAGTTCAC